GTAGGGAAAAGAATTTTTTCGATTTCTAGTTTCGATTAGCTTGAAAAAAAAAGTATTATTTAGTAATGTTTTAAAAAGTAAAATTTTTTATTTCAAAATATAAGAATTTTTCGTGCCTTGACTAATCTTCTCTTCGATTCAATCAAAGAGCTTTTGAGGACCTAAAGTAGGTATTGTTTGATGACCCCCGCAATTGCCAAATTACACTAAGTCATTTGACGTACACATCAGACTATGTCATAGGCAATGTGTTAGTAGGCTCAAAAATGTCTGAATTTATAGTTGGACACTGTTATGAATTATCCAATTTGAGTTATTTAGGTTCCTTTTCAATGGCCTAAAAATTCGCTAACATGCATGTCTTTGATTTCAATATTTGCAGAGAAAACTAGGAGAACATGTCGAGGCACCAAAAACTCACAAAAGCGTCGGCATAATTGTTGGCGTCACCGGCATCGTCGGCAGCAGTGTAGCTGAAATCCTCCCTGACACCGACACCCCCGGTGGTCCATGGAAGCTCTACGGCATCGCAAGCGGACCGCGGCCATCTTGGGCCGCCGACCACCCAGTAGAATACATCCAGTGCGACATTTCCAACTCTGACGAAACTGCCGCCAAGCTCTCACGCCTCACCGACGTGACCCACATCTTCTACGTCACATGGACCAACAGAGAAACTGAGGTCGAAAATTGCAGAGTCAATGGAGCCATGCTTCGCAACGTACTCGAAACTCTGATCCCAAACGCACCGAATCTCAGTCATGTTTGCCTCCAAACCGGATCCAAACACTACACCGGACCATTTGAACTTTCCGGCAAGATCCAACCGCCTGATCCACCTTTCACCGAAGACATGCCAAGATTAAACGTCCAAAATTTCTATTACGTCCAAGAAGATATACTGTTTGAACAGATGTCTAAGAAAGAAGGCATAACATGGTCTGTCCACAGACCCGATGCGATCTTCGGCTTCTCTCCTGTCAGCAAGATGAACATCATTTGTACCCTTTGCGTTTACGCTACAATTTGTAAGCATGAGCATAAACCCTTGAAATTTCCTGGGACTAAAACGGCTTGGAACTGTTATTACAACTCTTCGGACGCGAATTTGATTGCAGAGCATCATATATGGGCAGCTGTGGATCCATATGCGAAGAATGAACCATTTAACATCGTTAATGGCGATGTGTTCAAGTGGAAGCACTTGTGGAGGGTGCTGGCTGAGCAGTTTGGTGTCGAGCCTGTGGAGTTTGAGGAGACAGAAAGGCCAGTGAGGTTGACGGAGATGATGAAGGACAAGGGCCCGGTGTGGGATGAGATTGTGAGAGAGAATGGGTTGGTGCCGACGAAGTTGGAGGAGATTGGGGCGTGGTGGTTTGCGGATTTGATTTTGAGTACGGAGGGTATGTTGTCGAGCATGAATAAGAGCAAAGAGCATGGGTTTTTGGGGTTTAGGAACACCAAGAAATCGTTTGTCTATTGGACAGACAAAATAAGAGGTTACAAAATAGTTCCTTGAGAATGAATGATGGAAGGTTCGGGGGTTTTTGAGGTAGCTCGATGTTGAAAGTTCTGGGATTTGTTGTGAAAATGTTGGGTTTTGTGTACTTAATCTTGTAGAAAAATAATGGTGTTTTATAGTACGATCGAAGTGAAACTTTTTGTGGTTTTGTAATTAAGCTTGTAGAAAAATAATGGTGTTTCTATAATATGATCGAAATGAAACTTATTGTGGTCGATAATACAATCTACGGGTCTTTTAAGCATTTTGTATTTACCTACTTTTTTTTTCAATGGCGAGGGATGTTTGAATTAATTTACGCGTACTTCGATTAATATTTTCTTCGGTCTAGTCAAAGATAAGTTACCTACACTGACATTAAGATATTTATGAGATGTCAATTTCTCATGAATTAATCCAAGAGATGGTTAAAATTCAAATTCAAACATTTAAGTTTACAATTCATTCCTATTATCATTTGAGTTATCCCTTAGGGTTATTTATATGAGGGAATCTAATTTATTAACTTAATTTGATGACATAATTCACTATAACTATTGTATTAACTGTGAATCCCATTAAACAATAAAACTTGATGCAATCCAATAATTATAATGAAATTACATCATTAAGTCATTAAATTAAGTTAAATTTTTAGAACTTAAAAAAGTTACTCTATTTTTACCACATTCACAACATGGTTTCACTACTACATATCAACTCTTCAAGGAAGGGTTTATAATACTACTCACTCAATTTTATTAACAAAAACGGATAAAACCATTAAATTAAATTTAAATAATATTATTTTTCTCAGTTGATGGTATACAAAAATTGTCAACCAAGTTAAGTATTAAATAAAACTGCAACCAAATTTAGGATGCTTGATTTCCTTTTTTTGTTGTAAATGAGACATCATGTACTGGATTAATTAGAGAAATGAGTGGACTTAGCAAGTTAGCACTTAGTATGTTTCTCCTTTGGATTGAATACGTTGTTCTTTCAACCTAGTTGAGTCTGATATTTGATAACTTAGAACTCATATATAGATTTAATTATTTATCACACTTCTTAAGGCCTAACCCTATTCAATCCCATATTTGATAGATGATATAAAAATATGGAAAGTCCATAAATTCATATCAAAAACTCTCCATTAATGGGGTTTAATCAATCAACTATTCACTACGAGCCGGGAGTGGGCTGAAATTCATTTATACTATGAATCCTGAGTCTCAAATCTTAAACCAAATATGGGTTTATAAGGTATATCGACTATTTTCACAAAATTCACCCTTAAATTCCATCCAAAGCCATACACTAAACATGCCCATAGGGATATGCTCTAATTGACCTCAAGCCATGGTGGCTAACTGCTGAGATCGAGGAAATGGGGTTTAGTGAAGAAGAACCAAGGGTTGTGCTGCTTGGTCGACATATCATTTCTTTCACTCTTATTAGTGCTAGTAGGTAGGATGGGCCAATTAATTGGCCTCGGGTTGTTGATGTAGTTGTTTTTTGTTTTCTTTGATTTTGATTGAGTTGATTTATATTTATATAAAGAGCTCAAGATAGAGAAGCAATGTAAATTAGACAATCTCGATAGCGATATCCAAAGCGTGACAGATCGAGTCAAATTGAAGAGCTTGTTGTGGAGATAGGTCTGCGATTCGTGAACCGAATGTCTCACCTGACAACTCCAAACACATTTGAGTCTCAGAATCACAGTCATTCAATAGAATTCGACTATAGTCAGCGCAATGTTGAACACCCTATAACCAAAACAAATATATATATATTGTTCTTGTCACTTTATCACTAAATTCTAATATAATTTTGATCCGCTATCAATCCAAGTAGAGAATATCAGTAAATTATATTCACATGACTTCTTTTTTCTTCCTATTATTGATATTGCTTTTTCTGTTTTCTTTTTTTTTTTTTGAGGGATCAGGGGATGAATGAAGGTGGAGGATGGGCCACGGTTTGGTGTCCGACGGCCTTGATATGGGCTTTTTGTTTGCTAAACTTGGGCCTTATTGTTCAGCAGACTGATTCTAAGTAGCCCTTTGGTACCACATTGAAAGTATCAATCGAATGAATCTTAAGTTCAACCCTTATAAAATATTAGCAATGCTATTGGAACTTAAAAATTTGACCTAATTTTTTGACCTAATGTACTATGACTTTTGGATTGGCTATAGGTCCTATCAAACATTGAAACTTAGTGTTGATCCAATTATTCATATTAAGCTACATCATTATGTTAGTAAATTAAATCAAATTTTTAGATCTAAATAGCATTACTTATAAAATATTGCACAAAAACATTTCAACAAACGATATAGAATTTGGGTCTCTGAACTTCAACATCAATTCGATCGAGACAGATCCCAAACGAAATTATTTGTGCCTAAAGAGATGTATTTTGCACGAGATGATTTATGTGCAATATTTGAGATAGGGACACTTGGGATGAGCAGCACTTTGAGATTCTTGAAACAAAGGAGTAGAGTTATGAAAGGGGTCAGATGTATATCCAATGTACTCTCTATGATTCTTAAGTTAGTCGGCGATCAAGGGAGAATATATAAATACTACAACATAAGTTAAATTTTATGTGTGCATGTCAGAGACTCAACTCCTTTGATTTATTTATAAAATAACAGTTTACACAGACAAAATGACTTAAAAAAATTATTCCCGCGAGCCTCTCGTGCCACCAGTTTGTGACAAAGAACTAAGCAGCACCCCCCTCCCCCCACACCCCCAATAAAACTCCACATTTAAAATAGATTAATGTTACTTTGACAAAAAATATTGATAATATTTATCAACTCTCAATAGATTTTAATATTTATTAGAACTCATTATTTATTCAATAATCGTGATAGAAAGAATCAGTAAAAAATTTTAATATTTTTTGTCTAAATAACATTTATCTTAAAAATATAAATTATATAAAAGAATTTCAATTACAAAAAAATGGGAAGTGGACAGGTACTCTTTTCTGTCTATTCTCTTGAGCCAGCAGCTTACTCTAAAATAATTGCACAACCACAACTACAACCACTCTCTTCTTTGATTTGTACATAATTATTTAAATTTGACAGCACTATGATAAGAAAAAAATTAAATGGGTAGCTCTAATGATAACAAAAAAGAATTACAAATTCAAAAGTTCTGAATTTAAATCTTGACAACTCTCAGAACTAGTTTTTGATAAATTTATTTTTTAAAATATTTTAATACTAACGTGAATAATTTATTTTTAATCGAATCAAAAATAAGATTGATTGAAAAGCACGATAAACTAAATTATAACAAGAAATCAGCTAAACCGACCCAAATGCCAAAACAAATTCCAGGGTCATTTTCTTCTTCTATAATTAGCTAGCATGATACCGAAGCCATAAGCAGAATCGGGCAAACCCACTAGCTGATAGGATTCACAACCAATTCTCTCTCCTCCTCCAACTCCAAAAAAAACCTACTCAATATGAGCTGGTGGTGGGCCGGAGCTATTGGCGCTGCAAAGGCACGTACACCGTCCAATTCATTCATTCACTGACATGTAATAAATAATTTGATATTCTGAATTGTGTTTTGCAGAAGAAAATCGATGGATACGAAGAGCCCAAAAGTACTTTCCAGAGCGTTGGTCTGATCATCGGTGTGACAGGCATCGTCGGCAATAGCTTAGCCGAAATCCTCCCGCTTTCCGACACGCCGGGTGGCCCATGGAAGGTCTACGGCGTTGCCCGCCGCCCACGGCCTGTCTGGAACGCCGACCACCCTGTGGAGTACATCCAGTGCGACATCTCCGACGCCGGAGACACCCTCGCCAAACTCTCACCCCTCACTGACGTGACTCATATTTTCTGGGTCACTTGGGCCAACAGACCCACCGAAGCCGAGTGCTGCGACGTCAATGGTGGCATGTTCGGTAACGTCCTCGCCGCGGTGATCCCAAACGCCCCCAGTCTAAAACACATCTGCGTCCAAACCGGCCTCAAACACTACATCGGACCATTCGAAACATTTGGCAAGATCAAACCCCATGAAACACCATTCATCGAGGATGTTCCAAGACTAAACGCTCCAAATTTCTACTATACCCTCGAAGACATGGTCTTCGATGCTTGCAGCAAAAAAGAAGGCCTGACATGGTCCGTTCACCGGCCGGCAGTGATATTCGGGTTCTCTCCGTACAGTATGCTGAACATCGTTGGCATACTCTGTGTCTACGCCGCCATATGCAAGCACGAGAATGCACCACTGAAATTTCCGGGCACCAAAGCGGCTTGGAACTGCTACTCCGTCGCCTCCGACGCTGAGTTGATCGCTGAGCAACAGATATGGGCGGCGGTGGATCCATATGCGAAGAACGAAGGGTGGAACTGCAGCAATGGCGATTTGTTCAAGTGGAAACATCTATGGAAGGTTTTAGCTGAACAGTTTGGTGTCGATTACGTTGAGTTTGATGAGAATGAAAAGCAGGTGAGCTTGGCGGAAATGATGAAGGATAAGGGTTCTGTATGGGAGGAGATTGTGAGTGAGAATCAACTTACAATTACCAAGTTGGAGGAGGTTGCATCGTTCTGGTTTGCAGATGTGATATTCAGTGGGGAGTGCATGTTGGACAGTATGAATAAGAGCAAAGAGCATGGGTTCTTGGGGTTTAGAAACACCAAGAACTCACTCATTAGTGTGATTGACAAAATGAAAGCTTACAAGATTGTTCCTTGATTAATTCTGCCTCTTTAAGTTTTTTGGTGGGTGTTGGTGAGCGTCTGTAACAAGGAGGTGAAGAAAGTGTAATTCCCTTCTAGGCATTTAGCTTTCTATGTTATGAAATAAAAGGCGGTAGTAATAACGAATTGTAAGTTGAATTTTTTGAGTTCAAATTTTAGTATTAATTTTATCACAGATGATCGACCTTTAACTAAATTAAAGTGGAATTTAATTGAAATATGTACAAACTGACGTGGAAACTCCCATCATTCAACCAAAAGAAAGTATCATGCAGTGGAATGATTAAGGGGAATATATTTTAGACATTTATTAGAAGCCATTGTTGTTGTTGATCCACGTAAGGTTGTAACTGCACAAAAAGAGATGTTCTCGTGGCCATGAATAAGATTATCTATTTATATAATAAAATAAAAATGTGTTTGAATTTTATTTTAATTATATATTTTTTTTAAAATTATCATCAATCACTTATCTCACCTATCATCTATTTGTTAGACTCAAACGTCAAATCACATCACTTATTTCTATCATATATTTAATTATTTATATATTTATTCTCTAAAAATATCACATCACTCATTTCTATCATATATTTAATCATTTAACATTTGATTAATTTGTAGTTAATATATTTAAAAAAAAATTAATATAATGAGATTGATTTTTTGGACGCTCGAATTTTATATTTTATCGTGCTTTCAGGCACGAATTATAACTAGTATTCACATAAAAGGCTTATAATGTCTAGCGTTTGAATCATTTCTGACTAATAGGTTTTGTAATTCAAAAAATAGATACACTAATAGGTCCATCTACATATTTATATCAAAGAACATTATTTTTCAGTACGATATAATTATTTGAAAGAGATCTCACCACACCTATGGCACGACCAAAGTAAAGGTCTTACCGCCAACTCTAGATGCTAAAGAATAAGTTCAGTAGAACTGAACTGTCGTAACTATGGAGATTCAGGCTTAAAAAAATGCGATTTCTTGCGCACTTAATAAATCTCCCGATAGCTGACTAATGGGTTTTGAAAGTACTATGCCCTAAATCAGACAGTCTAGCCAGCTAAAGATTACTTGAATAAGCACATATTTAATTCAGTTTTGTCCCGCCTGCTGGTTTAATCTAACTAGAGATGAGAACACACAACCTACCATTACTAATAAATTTTTAGAACGAATCGCTATCAAGTGACATCAAACATTATATATTCTTATCTACAGAGTATGATGACAGAAAGCACTCGTGGAGCTAAACCTAATCAGTTGATGACCATGTTTTGTCGAGGAAGATGCAGAAAACACACTCTATATAATGGTGATATCAAGCCAATTTCGTCGTGTGGTATTATTATTTAATAAAAAATTAACAAATAAGAAAGTGAACCTTGGTAATTTAACTATCCTACTTACAATGATGTGTTAAATGATAAAATTCTATTGAAGAAATTTAAGGATTACAATTACAACAACACTATTAGATCACGTTACTACTATATCATTAAGTCAACAAATTAAGTCCGTTTTTTAAGTCTCAATAATATTACTAAAAAAAATAAAAAAAAATAAGGTTCACTTATCGACTTAGTTTTTTACTAAATAGTGATACCATGTGATGATAATAGTAACTGTGATATCACTCTTATATTGGATATTTTTTTAACAAAGAGATACAAGAAAAACGTTCTTATAAGTGACCAAATGTAGTTGCTTTGTAAACCTAATTTGTATAGTAACAATGACTGGCACCAGCACAGCTATACACATTGAAAGAAAGAGTTAAGAAATTTAAAGGCAATTTGAATACAAGTTCACATTAAACTTGGATTGAAGTCGGTTAATTTCTCGACCCACCTAACTTATTCGAGTTGCACCCCCTCAGAGCCATGGATAGCTCTCTTTACATGCAGATTTTATATATTCATGGGAATAAAATAATCCAAAAATAAAGATGCCAAACTTGATTCTCTTCACTAGCTGGTGGACTCATTGGACTTCTCTCGTTATTTGTTTAATCCGAATGAAGTGGATTTTGTTTGAATTGGAGGATCCTTCAATTCAATCCATACACATCAGCAAATTCAATTAATATAGATGTTTAATTTGATCTTCACATGGGTCCTTTACGTCGGGAAGGAGTATGTCTTTTCTATTATTCAAAAAATTTAATTGTGTTCACCCGTAAACACATTCTTTTCTTATTCTAGTATTTTTGATTGGCCTTGGAAGAATTAGTTCAATCAGTCTTAGTCTCTTAAAACTTAGGAGACATTTTTATTCATAATCCTATGCCATGTGTCAACTCTGGATTGACGAGCTGCTAATTAGCATGATAAGTATAAGTAAATAATCATTAGTGGAGATTGTATTTTTTAACAAGACAAACATATTGAACAAGTCACGGGTTGACCGCGGTTCTACATTGATATAAATTTTTTTGAAACTTTTATAAAGGAAATTGGTGAGGTTTAAACCTGCAATCTATCAGTCTAAGAGCATCTCTAACAGAATTTTCAAATGCCTAAAATAGGTAAATTTTAGTCTATCAAAGCAAAAAACAGCACTCCAACAGATTATGTTCATATGCTATAAAATAGATTTTTGCTACAGTGAGCATCACTATAGCAATATGTAAACATAATATATATTATTTTCTCTCTTTTCCTCTCATTTCTTCCGTTCTTTCTCTTTCTCCCTTTCACTAATCTCAATAAATATATTTCCTCCGTTTCTAAATATCTGTCGTTTTACACAATTTTTTTTATTTTATAATATCTATTGTTTAATGAAACTAAAGCATAATTAATATTTTTTCTTCCAAATTTACCCTTAACTTTTCAATGCATTAGATTAGGTGGAGGCTAAGTGTCTTTCATATTCCTTTCCTTCCCAATACGTATTGAATAAATGTATTTTAGTCTTGTGCAATTATTTTTACTCATATTAGAGTTATTTAATAGCTTTTTTTAATCCCTGTGTAAAAACCTTAAACGACAGATATTTAAAAACGGGGGAATAATACAAAAAGAATGATAAATAATATTTAAAAGTAGTAGTTAAAAATATGGAGAATCTGTTGGAGTGTGTATTAAAAAAATGATTAGTTAAAATAGAAAAAATTATTTTTTGGATAACTAAAATAGTTACTATTGTTGGAGATGCTCAAACGGCGAGCTGCGAAGCTATTAGGCCCCCGTTGATCCTCCATGTTGATATAAATGAAATGGCTTAATTGAAATAGAAATAAAATTTTACAGATTGGATTGTTTCAATTAGAATTATTGGGGCCAAATTAAAATTTGACCCATACTTGAAGGTTGTAACCTGTAAATTGCCCATCCTCCAAATTTCGAACCGACCTTAATTCTTAATCTGAAATTCATCTTCTTCTGAACCCTAATTCGTTAAATCCCAACTGGGTCTGGTTTTCCAAGTCCAACGGTCTATCTATCCCAACTCTCTCAGCTTACGTCCTTGCAAATTGCAGAGGTCTGAGGCTATATCGTCTTCTGTAAGTATGTGGATCACAATTAGTTTCATTCCTTTCTCTCTCACACATACTATTGTGTGTGTCTGTGTGTATAACTAATATGAGACCTGATGAGAACTTGTGCAGCAGAAAAGGTTGAAAATGCTGACAAATTTCAACGGAACTGGTGTAGGATTTGGTATGTTGATCGTTAATATGAACCTCTATTTCATTTGCTACTTTTTGTGTGTTTTGATTTGATCTGGAGTGAGTGCTCTGAACTGTTACTAATCTATTTAGGTTTTGGCGTGGGTTGCGGTTTCGGGGTTGGATGGGGCTTTGGAGGTCACCTCTTTGCATCTCTCATTGAAATTTCTATAATTTAAAGGATACTGATGAGAATTGTCTATGGCTATTTAACATAGTTCTTCTAGATCTTATGTTTTGTGTTTTATTCTTGATGCTCTGTTGGAATATTTTTTTTTTTTAAAGTACGTAAATAAAGAACGCTTTCTGAATCTGTGTTCCATCTCATGTCAGAGGACAGGTTGAAGCCGTCCTGGTTTTGAATTTACTAGACAGGAGAAAAGGTTATCCTTGCATTTTCCATTAAACATATATAAAATGCTCTTAGGAACCCTATCATTTGAAGTTTTCACTCTTGTTGCTAGCTCTTTTTTTTTTTTTTTGGGTCTTTATATCACTCTGCAAAATTGCATTTGACCTTTTTCTCGAATCATATGTGGTTTTTCACAAATGTTGGGTAGTCATAAAAGTCCCCCAAGATTAAAGAATATTCACTAGTTCCAGTGGGTGTATCCTACAATTCTATATTAACGAAGACGCTCTTTTGTTGGAGTGACTCCTTGCTCTTCTAACGTCTGGGCTGCTATCAGGACCCCTTAGTTTGGGTTTTTTGAATAGAATGTTCAGCATCTCTAACAAACAGAAGAATAGCTCTTATGCTTAAAGTCGCTAATAGATTTTCAAGTTATAGTTCCAAGGATTGGAAGAAGCAAAGTTGAATACTAATAGCTCAAAAGACTATTTTGCGTGCAATCTGATGCATTAACATATCCAATCTGTTTTCTACCCGTCATGTGGAAAGGAAGTTGTCAGGATAAATCTGAAGTTGGTGTTCATTTTGGATCTGTTTGAAACAGGTTTCAAAAAAGTTGGGATTCTGGATGTCAAAGGTTTAGATTACGACCATGTAGCTAAAGTCATATCTGTGTGCTTGGGTCCAATTGGAGACCAAAAATCCAAGTAAACCTAAGTATTAGTTCTTACAATGGGTTTTTGGTCTAATGGTACTCCTTGTTTTGTGAAGGCTTTGTCTTTTTGAGGTCAAGGGTTTAAGTCCCCTCCCCTCCTCTCCCCTACCCCTAAAAAAAAAAAGTTCTTACAAACATTGATGCCACACTCAAGTGGTCTTTGTTGAAGGGTGGAAGCACATTGAATGTTGCATATTAGAAAACGCAGGCAGTACAATTATTTTTGCATCTGTCTCCTCTTGCCTTTAGGAGGCAATTGTCATAGCTAAAATTTCTTCAATTTCTCCTTGGCTTGCCTTCTTAGTTCATTGAAATATCGAACTCTCTTTTTTAACAGAGTTCTTTAGCAAAGGCCAAGAACCATGGACATGGTGTCCATAACTCCCGATCTCAATTGGGTATGATATATTCTAAGATGCCTATGAACATTTTGTTTTTTGGCTCGAACTAGTGTTATTTGAATTGGTTGTTGCAAACAACTGCCAGCTTTAATTCTGTGGAAGCTGTTTATGATATAGTTTTTGGGGATGAATAAGGGATGGGACTACTATGTGGCACACATATCATATAAGAGAATAAAATGCCTTGACTTATCACTATTAAGGGAATAAAATGTCTTGACGTATCACTATCATATTTTGGGAATATAGGTTAGAATAAGATTTTAACATCTATTTTGTGAATGCTTTCGATATATGTATGCAAGGAGTAAAGCAATATTTAGTTTCATATGGTATGTGCCTAGCATTACTAATAATAGACCAAGAGAAATGGCATTGAGCATTGAAGGGGTAAACGCTGGACTGCAGAAAGTTTATTTATCTGAGTAGTAGGGAGAAAAGGAGTGGCTGAGTGAGGGAAAAGATACCCCTGAAAATGATTGGTGTAAATGACTTAAAGGCTCAAGCAAGAGAATCAGAAGGCTGTAGCGTGATGTTATTGTGCCTTTTCGTTCTTCTCTTTGTATGGCAATGCTACATTTCCACTCCTTGGATAGGTATCTGCTGGAATTTCTCTCACAAAAAGCTTATCTCCAAAGAAATTCTGTACCTAGATGCACAATATGCTTGGCAATTCACCTCGATGTGTGGAATTTGAAAGTTCAGTAACGGCATAGTTTCGTACATGTAATAACAGAAAGGCCACGTTATACTTGGTACATAATCCGATGACTGGATGGAAGTTGATGTTGATGAAGGACAATGGCCTTCATTACTATTCTTCAAAAATTTCATGACAGGTAAATAACTCAAGTAGTCATTATGCAGTAAGGCATGCTTAATAACTTCCTGGAAAGAGATACTGGATACTGATAGCTAAATGCTTGTGTATCTCATTTTATTTATTTTTTAATGAGATACTTAAACGTGATACTTATTGACGGTAATGCAGTGTGTAGAGATAAACTGATGTTATTTTTGAATGTGAAATTATAAAAGTCTATATGATAGTATGTGGTTTAACATATGATCCTTAATAGATCACAATAGCGGAATGAGGTTTATGTAGTTAAAATGCTAATTATTGCATTATTCCTCTTATGTGTTCCCTTTGGTTTATGTCCTTGTTCGGATATTATTTACTGGCAAACTCACATTCCATATATAAATCCTTCTTTAAAATCTGGACCTTGCTTGAACTTACAGTGCTTTATGGGTTTTTTGATATCTTTATAATGCTGTTACTGGATCTGCTACTTATCTTATTATGGCTTTGTCATTTCCTGTCTCCATTGTGTATGTTGTATTATGGTACTACTACTACATGTATCTTTTATCGTTCCAGCCAGTTCGTTTTTCCTAATAGATGGTCTTTATCTTATTTAGGCATGCCTCTGAATATCTTGGGTCTTGGCGCAGGTAAATTAGCAAAACTGCCGATCCACAAAGCAATGTTTACTCTCTCTCTCTCTCTCTCTCTCTCTCTCTAACACACACACACACCCGCCCACATCTGTGCGCTGATACATGCATACAGCCACACACATACATAATACTTCAGTTCCTGCACTTTCTATAATGTGTTTTGTCTTTGGTGAGTTATACTGTAGAGAAGTCTGATTGTAGAGGACATAAACAGTGTATATTTATGTGGAATATCATATACATTGATTGTCATTGCCGCGTTAATTTGAAGGTGGAGGCTGTGGACTTGGGCTAGGCCTTGGATGGGGATTTGGTACGGCGTTTGGTAGTCAGTATCGGTCTTCTACGGTTACTTTTCAAGGCATAGATTTCGACAGTAAGCAGGATCACAGTGGAGGTAGGGAGTCCACCGATATGTCGAAAGGAACTCCTAAAGTTCATTCTCCTCAGTAATTTGTCTTCAGCCCCTCTCTTCTCAATGTAACGGCTACGTTTCTGTATTTAAATTGGTGAAAATGCTGCTTGTAATATTACATAAATAAATAATAAAAAAAAATTCCATCAATTATTTATATCGGATGAATTGTATGGATTGTCTTATCTCGCAAAAGAGCCAAACTTAAAATCTCAATTAGTTAGAACACTAAAATTCTGTGACAGGCCAGCTTTATCGACTTTTAATGTTTATGTGGAATACAACTTGCTCGCTGAAGTGGATGCATGGCAGACCATTCTTGTGAGAATGAGGACTGATCCAATGCCCACCCGGCGGGGGAGGGGGGGTGGTTCTATTTTGGACCAGCCAACTTTTTAAGGAAGACGGTTAGCTAGACCTCTCATTTCCAGAACAACGGTTGACAATAGCATTACCTTCTTTATAACATAACATCACGTGGATTTGCTTCAAAATTTATCAGAAACTGCCAGCTTGTGCAGAAATAAAAGCAAATCTCGGTCATGACATCAAAATAACAGCCTACAGATAATGTGAAGAAATAAAACACTTCCACAAGCTGTAATCCATCTACAAGTGAAGAGGAAAGCTGATGGTTTACACCACTGACATGATTGACATAAGTTCTCTCCTTACATTTTAAGCTTTGCAATCACCAAGAGAAAAAAATCATAATATCAAAAACAAAAAGTTCAAAAAAAAAAAAAGGGAAATTACTAGAAGAGAGGAGGAGACTAAGAGAAAAAATTTAAGGGTTATACCTGCGCTATTAATTACAATTACAACTACAACATACTATATATTACAAGATCTGGCATCTGGCACAAATCTATTCTCTCTCTGTTTTCTTTGGGATGCCAAATACTAAGCATTTGTGGTGCAATTCTAAGCACCAACTTACAAAGTTTGACATAATATCGAACAAAAGTGGAAGAAAATCACACCTACCTCCATCAGGTAACAGCGGAAACAATTCTCAGCAAATTTGTGTTTTTTGAACTATTCAACTCCATATACCATTATTGATTCCAAATGCTGCATAAAGAATCTATTGTGCCTCCTCAGATTGCACGAAATACAAATAAAACTGCAGACAGAACGAATACTGTATAAGTTCCCACATTGCAGGAAAAGCTCAAATTAAGAATCTTATTCCTTTGAAAGACTTATCATATATCTTGTCTGAACAAAATAAAGACGAGAATTAAATGTACATCCAGATTTGTATAGATGTAAAATTGAAGAATTAATTTATAAGATGCATAATTAATTTACCGAATGCATATTACATCTATTTTCACATAAAATTGCATAATTCATATATTGGAAACCTATGACATTTATTTGCACATGAGCATGCACGCAGGAACACACGGTAGCCATTTCTTTCTTCGCACATGTGACAAATTGCAACATTAGTATCCAATCCATAGCATTACATAGTTATTACTTGTCCAAAACACCAATGAAGACAAAAAATTGAAAACTTTTGAGTGAGGCAACAAAGGAATGTGTGTTTGCTTGCAAACTGTTGAAAACGCAGATATTTATGTATACAAGGTCCTAATTGTTTCTATAGTCTCCCTATAGGTAGACTCAGGTACATCGCAGTAACACTGAATAACCATAGATTGATATGCTATAATATCCATACATAATCAATCAAAAAATTTATTAAAAATATAAAATACTACACTGTGATCAAACTTTATTAAGAAAATGCACTGGAGCCATGAAAATATGAAATAACAAGAATACAAAACTTCCAACATAAAATACAAGAACAAAGTTCCCTCTGAAGAATGTTGATATTCGCTGATAGTTCTCATAGAATTCAGATATGAACCATCGATACATTTGTAGAAGTATGCTATATCCATTATCATGTAATAGAATGTAAGCACATGTCATCACAATTATAATGTTAAGGTCTTTCAATTATTGATTAACCCAGCTTAATTTTGATTTTTTAAAATAAGATAATGAATTTCATTTCATCTGGGGAAAGAAACAGAAGTATGGCTTGATGTGAATTAATGCAGAATAATGCACCGTAGCAGACCGCATGCCTTGGTTTAAAAGAAAATAAGCAAATGATGAAAAGCAGTGTCCAACCCATGTACTGCAATTTAACACTCTAATTGATTCCCAGAAGCAGTGCGAATAACCATGAACATGTGATCTCATAAAAATCCTATGTACTTTAGAACGTACATGTACTAGAAAATACTCGGTGCAAAACCCTTGCTGATTCCCATCATACTCACACACACTTGTCTTGAACTACATAAGAAACAATAGTTCAAAGTTTCATTCCATTTCAAGTCACACAATGACAATGCTGCAACTGAAGAACAATTCTAAGGAAATTCTTTCAGAATTATATCCAAAAAAATGATACGTGATCAATCTAAATAAGCAAGCTCACCAATCAAGCATAGTAGGAGAACCGTCCAAACAACCACTTGTATTGGTCGACCATATTGCATGTGGTACTGAGACCTTTGAAGCTGTCTCTGAATGGCTCCATACCAACCATACAGTTGCTTGTTATCACAACCCTCGAGGCAGCTTTTACCTCTTTCATAGCATGCATTAATGCCCTTTGCAGACAAAAGCAGGTTACATTACATTAGCAACATACAACATTAAACATGAAATCAAGCAGCAAATTTCATTAACACATTTAAATACCATAAAAGCAGATCAAACACTCACTCTAGTCAAATGCTGAGATTTGGGTAGTGAAGCATTAGCTTCTTGGCGATCTGGAAGCTTCAACTTCCTGTAACCATTCTTTGGCCACTTCAATTTCGACGCAGACTCCATGGTATATAGGAACCCCGAAAAACTTGGAACCTTTCGTGGAGTTGGCTCAGGCTGTACATTGGTAGAACCCTGTGGGAAAGCATCATCAGTGACTGCTATTTTCCACGCACCAATGTCAGCACTAGCACTTGCTGTCCTTCGATGGCCAGGAAACTTCTCCTCCCTGGCCTTCCTCTCCACAAAGTGAGTTAAATTCTTCGTATGCTCAGGTGCCATTTGTTCATCAGTCTCATGTTGGTTCAATTTTTGTAGATTCTGGACATGAACTTTCAGGGTATTTTTGTCCCTGGAAGCAGATGGTCCCGAAAGAAACAATGCAAGCTCATCGCTTTCTCCCTCTTCCAAGCGCACCCATGGGAGAGGTGGCTTGCCTGCTGAAACAGATGACTCTTGTAAAGAATTTTGGACTCTTGAAATCTGGCTCTCAATTGCTACAATGAATTCGCGATGCCTGTTTTTTGCATCATCAGTTGAGCTATCAGTATAACTTGACCTTACTGCTCGTTCAAATTCGTCCAACTGCATGGACAACCCAAATTAATAAACTCGTGATTGATTACACCAATATAGGAACAGCCCAATGATCATCTCAACACACATTACATAATAATAAAGAATAACCCCAAACCCCTCTTCTTCAAGAAATCCAAATACAACTCCAATTCATCTATCTATACATGTAGAGAGAAAAGAAGGAGGGGAGGTGTAATGACCTGCCATTTACAAGTGCCAAGGGCAGTCTGTAGGTCCCTCCGAAGTTCTTCGGAATTCCAAGTACCGGAAGTGTCCTTTTTTGCATGAATCCATGTTCTATAACTTGATTCCATCCTTCACAAACACAATTAACATTATTAACGGGTGAACAAAAGAGATTATAAACATACATTATTTCTCCTTCTCTCTCTATAAATCAAGATACAGAACCAAAAACCCAATCCTTAGATTTCAAAAAAAAAAAAGGGGAAATTTGGAAATTGTACCTATCAGCAGATTCCTGAACTTCTTCTGCAGCAGAGAAGAAAGGATCTTTCTCCCACCGATCGAAATTCGAAGCCATATCTCCCAATATCACAAACCCTTCTTGATGTAGAAATGTAACAATACAGAGCGAAAAAATTCGTCAAATTTGATCAGCCAAAACATAAAAAATCTCTAGCTGACGAAGCCCCTAAATATCATAAATCGATAGCCAATTGGACTGAAAAATTAAAACTAAACCACAAAGATTGTGTAAATTGTGCACGAGAGAGAGAGAGAGAGAGAGAGAGATTTATCCGATCTGATCAAAATTTGGTAGTTTTTTTTGGTGAGAGAGTGGGTGGTATCAACGACAGATTAATTATGAGAACCTCCGGGGAAGGGGAAGGAGTACACCTAAAGGTTACGATGCCGTTTCAACGCCCCCCCCCCCCCCGTGTCCGATTAGGTGGGCGGTCAAAACGAGTATACTAAAAGGTGGAGAGAGAGATAGAGAGAGAGGGGGAGGGAGAGTTTTATCCAATTGGTTGAGTTTATTAGTAATGGATGGATGAGGATTTGTACTGAGGGCAAAAGTTCCGGTAGCCACTTTTTTGGCACCTTCCGGGTGTAAAATCAACGGACAAATAAGCCAAACGATTGTCCCACTGGAGGAAAAAATATTCATAACGGTCTTAGGTATCATTAATTAACAATATACGAATAAATTAAAAAATGAATCTTAGACAAATCAATAATCACTCGTTTATATAAATAGATAACTACCTAATGATACACAAAAATAAATTTATGTATAATCAATCAGTCGAGTGTGTGTTGTGAAATAATTAATGAAATACTTAATAATTAAAAATAAAAATTGAATGGTTGAATATGAGAGACCTAACTACTGAATGTAGCAACTATGACTAAAGAACTTTATTCATAAGATAATAATATAGTAGGTGAAAGAAAGACGGTAGCCGGTAAACTTTATTAACGAGATAATAAAGAAGTAGGTGTTGGAGAGCATAAGCAAACTCCAGGTGTGGAGAAAGAGAGAGTGTGCTCGGGGTGAAGTGCGTGTGATTTTTGTGTGAGAGAGAGTTGTCTCGTGTGTAGTGAGCTTGTAGGCATAGAACCTTATTTGAAACGGTAATGTGAAGGTCACACTACTAGTCTTTTGAGGATGATAGCTACAATTTAAGATAGGTGCTATTTTCAAGTAATGACTATCCCAATGTTTACTCCTCATGTGCGTTGATCTTCTTGAACTTGTGAGTTTTAAATTAAATTGAAGCTATGAGTTAAATCTGATCTACTTTTTGATGATTTGGGCTTAACCCATTAACTAGACCCAAGTCTGGTTTAAATATGGACTCGTCACCATCTATTTTTTTTTTCATGTAAGTCAATAACTACTGATTCACTTTGCACATTTAAAGTTTTATTATTATTATATTCGTAATATCATGTTATCAATACTAACATAAATATCACCGTTATATTGAATATACTCTTTGGGGACGAATTGTAAATTTAAGTTCAATATTTAATATTTTTTTGAAATTTAGTCGTGAGAAATTTATTTTTCTTAAATTTTTGTGTTGTGTACCTAAATGAAACCTAAAAAATTAAAACTCAAATGAATATCATCTCTTGAATAAATAGTCCTATTAACTTTTTCAGTAAGACTTATTCATTCAATACTCATCTAATAAATAATATACATTTGTGTTGTAATGTTTGGGTTTTATTTGAGTTACGTAATATTTTTCCTAAATTTTTTAATTTTGATATGGATAGTCTGTCTTTAATAGACCAAAAAAATATTAACCAAAGTGTGAATAAACTGACCCGATTATTCCGAGCACAATACCAAAAAAAAAAATCAAAGGACAAATAAATGGATCTTCATAAGTACATAACTAGAATTTGATCATATATTTACGAAGGAATGTATAATTTGATCATGTCACCTTTATTGGAAACTTCCCCTAAAAATAATCTATTGGTACAAAATTGATTAGGACTGCTCTGTTTTTACCTGTGTAGAAGTTTGGCAGGAGAAGCGAAGAGAAAGAGTTTCGGTTGTTGTGTTCATTCGGACTAACGGTGTCGTCTCAACTAACAGTACAGTACAGTGTACTATTTTCTCCTAAACAGCAGACGATCTGGACCCCTATTGGAACTATAGATTTTTTTTGGTAATGGTAGGAGTTGTTGATGTTTCAACTATCCTTAACTGTGTCGAGTAGTGGGAATAGAATCAAATTTTAACATCTACGATATGATAGAAAAATCTCTGTACTCGTTGTCTTTATTTTTTCTATGAACACAGAAATAAATTTAGAGTAATAATCTAATACGAATTGAGTGTGATCAATGTTAGTTGGGGTGATTTTATGCCTCGTGTTGCAATCAATGTGTGATGGATGAGTGAAGATGAATTAATCAATAATGAGAAATTGTTTAACATTTTGTATATTTTTTTTCTTGAATTATTGATCATTTGTGATTAATTGAGAAAGTTTGTTCCTAATTTTGGTGACAAGTTGTATATTGTTTTGTTCAAGAATTTTATTTTTGTTCATTGATAACTTGACATGACATTGTGTCATTAAATGTTATAAACCTGACTAATGACACCTAAATGGAGAAGATGAATGATATTTAGACCTCATTTTCTAATTTATTAGTTTAAATTATATGTGTTATTGAATTGACTGTGGACCTTGTATTCAATAGAATCTATTATCAATTCAATGATGCCAAACTGTCAAACCCTGACCCTGACCCTTTGCCTACTCTGATAGAATGGACTCTACTACCTGAACATAACCTTGAATGGACTCCACTACTTAAACATAACCTTGTTATCTTGTGCTTGAATATAATAACTCAACGCACATGGAATGTATGTTTATCTATGAATATCTATTCTATCTATATCTCTAGGCGATGTCGCTATACATATCAAAATTTTTAATAGCATGATATGATCAGGTATTCGTAGCCGCATATCAATTGTGCTCAATAGAGAGATTTATGTTAGATCAGATCTTTTGTTTTGACAGAAACTTTTGGACCTAATGAAAAGGACTCTATGGATCTGTTTGGTATGTTTTTTGGGAGGGGTTTGGATTGGCTTGTTCAAACCTGATGATGCACAAAATAATTTTGCACACCACCTGTTAAGTATGATAAATGCAAAAGTAAAAGTAAGGAGATAGAGAGATACAAACAATTTATAGTGGTTTGGTTAAAGTGATCTACGTCCACTCTTGAGTGGCTCTGGTCGCCGGATACTTTATTAGTTCAAGGGTGTGGAGAGCAAAGAGTACAAGTTTTAAGGGACAGGAGAAAGTCGTGCTCAAGTAAAGTGTGATGCCCCCTAAGTGTTGGCGGGGTGTACAATTTATAGTGGTCCCCTAACAGATTGAGACTACTTTACAGCAACTAAACAACTGTTCTGATAGAACTCACGACTTCTTCTCAACGGGCGAGGAGGTTGTGGGGAGCTCTCCATGAGATACGGTCAAAGATAAGGTGAGGGTGGACTGTTTCCTTCTGCGGTGACCAAGCAGAGAGTTTGAATAGTCTTGGACCGTGTTGGGTTTGGTGGGTATTTTATAAGGTTGGGCTCATCAATTGAGATTGAGTTTTCCTCATAAACTGGGCTATTTGGGTTTGACCTATCATTTGTCCCCCAATACCCCGTGTCCAAGGAGACTTGGAGAAAGGTGCATTAGTTTGCTCTTTGAGTTATAAGTGGTGGAGACTTCCTTTGCTAGATGACTCTTTCCCTCCACGATGTATTTTTGCTTTGATGCATGCCTCAAGTTTCTTCACTTTTGCTAGGATTTTTAAGAAAGCCCATAACTTTCAATTTGGGCTTTTCCCTCTTTAAAAACCCTAGGCTATAAATATAACCTTTTCCTTCATCCTACCCATTTCATTTACTTTGAGATTGAGCACCCATTTCTTGAAAATCTTGAGAACCCATTCTTGTGAGCTAAGTTCTTTCCATTCCATTGAGACTTGGGAGACAGGAGGCAAGACTTGAAATCTTTCAAGAGCATTTTGTTGATATTCTTGGGTGGAATTTGTGAGTGGGTATTGGAGCTTGAAGGAGGTGGAGTAAAAAACTCCATTGGTGCCATGGGGAGTGGCGAAATTGGGGCTGAAACAAGTGATCTTGGTGCCCTTGGAGCTGCAAGGGTTGAAGGAGGAGAAAAAGGGAGATCCCCGCTGGCTGTCGCTGCCATGGGCGAGCACCAACAACTCGCGAGAAGGGCTGCAGGCACCATTTTAGGCGTTGGTCTGGGCGCCCCAAACGTGGATTTGGGCATTTTTGGCAAGATTTCTTTCTCAAGTAAGCGTGCAGGGAAAATGGTGGACAATATAGGCGCGATGGGCAATAAATTAGGTGATGTCCTGGGCAGCTCTGGAGTGATAGGCAGCTACTTGGGCATTGATAATGTTGTCCTGGACAGCTCTGGCACAATGGGCAGCTGCTTGGGCATTGAGAATGTTGTCTTGGGCAGCTCAAGCACGCTGAGCAACAACCTTTGTTCAGTTGGAGGTGCAGAAAATCGGGCTAGGGACCAGCGGGGAAAGTTGAGCAGCAGCCTAGGAGCAAGGGCAGATCTGGACGCCACTCCAGGCGTTAATCTGGGCACCATAAATGCTGATTTGGGCACTTGAGGTGCTGTTTTGCACAATTTTGAAGGACCAGACACCTCTCCAGCTACTAGGTTGCTCCGTTTGGGCGAGCAAAGGTGGTCAGGCACCTTTCCAGTTGTTGGGTTGCTCCATTTGGGCGAGCAAAGGCGGTCAGGCACCCCTCCAGGCATTGGGTTGTCTCGTTTGAACGAGCAAAGACAATCAGACACCCCTCCAAGTATTAGGCTAAACACTGTAGGCGATAAGGAAGCTTTAGGTGCTACTTATGATGATCAAGATCTGATTATGACTCCTCCAACCCAAGCTCCTCAAGACTTCCCAAATGGTGGCTTAGACCACTCCTTACAGCCCCGAAAGAAGAAGCGCAAAGGCAAGGTGGGACTCTATGATGATGAGTCTAAGGTAAGTACCTTTTCTAGTTTGTTTCATTCGGATGAAGATATCTTGAGACTTGTTTATGCTTATCGTATTCCTCTGACTATGCTGTGCCGTCGGGCGAGCTTGCTTGCGACGACTCTTCTGGTGATATTGTTGTTTATGAGAAGATGCTTGAGGCTGGGCTAAGATTCCTCATATCCTCTCCCATTTGTCGCATTTTGCATTACTTTTCCTTGACTTCGGGGCGATTGGCACCTAATGATTGGAGAGTTCTGCTAGGCTTTCTTGCATTATGGAGGAAAGTGCACCATGAAGATGCTTCTCTTGTGGAGTTTCATGCATCATATAATTTGAGCAAAACTCCTGCACCAAATAGGGGGTGGTACTATTTTACCACAAGAAGTGGTACAGTGCTCACGGGACTGCACTCCAATTGTCACGGCTGGAAATCTTGCTTCTTCTTTGTTGGT